TGCTTTTGCGTGTGGCAGAAGAAAGCAAGTCATAGAGGTTTAGAATAACATGAGGTTCAGCAAATGATGGTAACTTTGTCATTTTGGGTGAATTATCCCCATAACTCAAACTGTTTTTCACACAGCTAAAAGACTGTAAAGTGATGGCCTCTAAAGAAAAAGCCACTCTGGCTTGAGTTCTCTTGCGTACAGTCAGAAGCTCCAGCCTCTCCTCCTGTCGGCATCATCTTTAAACATGGAGATGACCTCCGACGAGATATATCCAGCTGCAGACCCGCAGCACCAGCAGTTTCAGAACCGCAGTCATAGTGGTGCTGCGGGTCTGCAGCTGGATACTATTGCCTCCGACAGGACATGCTCATCATCCAGGTAAATAAGCAACTATTAAAAAACAACTGACTGATTTTCACTGGTAACTAAAAACCAAATTAAGAAATTAATTTTTTTTTTAACATTTTTAAATGTTGTTTTTCAGACTCTATTGGTCATGGACTCAATTTGGAAAGAGAAAGGTTTAGATTTTAACCTGGTGCCCTATGGATGTATTTCTACAGGATTTAACATAATGATCAGTCTCTCTGTTGTTCTTATAACTGAATTATAATACCGCTTATTATAATATTATTATAATTGTAAGAACACTTAACATATTCAATAAATATTGACAGACAAGCAAAAATCTATTTTAAAATAATAATAATTATGGCACAGAACTCTAGGATACATGATTCTGACTGGCTGCAGACTTGTGTGCTACAAAAATGTCTAATGACCAACAAACTGACTTAGCATTCAGCTGTATGTCTGTCTTTGACACAGGAATGATTGAGATTGTGCGAAATGCGATCACTTTTGCCTCTGTTCAGAGGAGTCAGGGAGGTGTGGCGGGAGCTTTCAAAAACAATGCCTTGTATGACTGGCTTGAGAGGAAGTGCCCATTCCAGGAAAAAGTAAGCAGATATACTGTACTAATACTATGTCATGTGAGCTGACTTCTGTCATTCTATCAGATCTGTTTTCTGTAGTGTCTCGAAAAGCAGATATTTGATCATTCTCTTCCTTTTGTCTTGAAATTCGGTGCAACAGTACTTTCAAGCTATAGAGAAGTTTTGAACTCGTGTGCTGGCTACTGTGTAGCTACATATGTGCTGGGTACAGGTGACCGCCACAACGACAACATTATGATCACTGATCAAGGTAAAGGAACAAGTTCGTTTTTGTCTCGTGCATCTGACAAGACAAAAGAAAAAAAAATCACATGATGTAATTATTGCATATGCAAAACCAGTAAACTATGTAGATGAATATATTACAAATAAATGATCCAGTTCAACTTCAGTCATGATCTTGTTACATCTGGTTAATAAAATATGATTCATGTCACATATTTGATGTCTACCATCCATACAAAATGTTCGGAGTATTATGGGTAGATTTTTAGAGAGGGTTCAATAACACAGAACATGCCTTGAATAGATGTACCAGTATTTTGCGAATGGCCACTTGGAATCGAACTAATGTTAAATTCTCAGTTCTTCTCAGGGAACTTGTTCCACATTGATTTTGGGCACATCCTGGGCAACACTAAGCTTCCTGGGGGTGAACAGAGAAAGGGTGCCCTTTGTCCTCACCCCTGAGTTCCTGTATGTGATGGGCAGGGTGAAAGGCCGTCCCAGCCTCTACTACCAGAGATTTAGGGTATGTTCTGTTACACTGCTTCTCTTTGAAATATATTCAGTGTTACAGGGCCTTGCAACCAGTGTTGTTATTGTTAACTAAAATTAAAAACTATTCAAATCTGTTATTGGTAATTACAATGAAGCTGAAATAAAATATAAATATTACAATTTCAACTTAAACTTAAAGGGATAGTTCACCCAAAAATGAAAATTACCCCATGATTTACTCACCCTCAGGCCATCCTAGGTGTATACGATTTTCCTCTTTCAGACAAATACAATTGGAGTTATAATAAAAAAAAAATTCTGGCTTTTTCAAACTTTATAATTTAATTTAATTTATGCATTTAGCAGACGCTTTTATCCAAAGCGACTTACAGTGCATTCAGGCTATACATTTTTTACCAGTATGTACTTGGTAAAAGTATTATATTACTTTATAATAGCAGTGAATGGGGGTCGTGATTTTGAAGCCCAAAAAGTGCATCCATCCATCATAAAAGTGCTCCACATAGCTCTAGGGGTGAGTAAAGGCCTTCTGAAGCGAAGCAATGCGTTTGTGTAAGAAAAATATCCATATTTAAAACTTTATAAACTGTAATCTCTAGCTTCCGCTAACTGTTGTACACACATTCACAAGAAAGTGGCCTAGTGGATGACGTAGGACGCAGGCGTAGTGTAAGCTCCGATGAAAAAGACTATTCTTGGCTTAAATTAAAATCCTCGTTTTGTAAAGCCTTTCTCCCATGAACATGCATATTACAGTTAGCGGAAGCCAGAGATTACTGTTTATAAAGTTTCAAATATGGATATTTTTCTTACACAAATGCAGCGATTCACTTCAAAAGGCCTTTATTAACCCCTGTGAGCTGTGTGGAGTACTTTTTTATGATGGATGCACTTTTTAGGGCTTCAAAATTCAGGACATTTTTAAAAATAACTCTGAGAGTCATATAAACGATGGCTTGAGGGTGAGTAAATCATGGGGTAATTTTCATTTTTGGTTGAACTATCCCTTTAAAAATTAGAAGGGTTGCCTCTGCAACTAACTGAAATAAGTTGAAGTAATAAAATGACTAAAAACTGAAATCAAATAAGCTTTATAGAAACATTTTTTAAAAATCAAATAAAAATTACACATAAAAAACACATGAAATTACTAAAACTTAAATTAAAATGGCAACTGAAAATATAGAAATAAAAGCTACTTCAACATATAAAAAAAACAACTAAATTAGTTAATAAATAACACTAAAACAATACATGCCACTAACACAAAACTTGAGAAGCATTTGTTTCTCCTGCCAGCCCATTGTATTACGCATTTAGAAAGCTTACTCTGATCTGGATTTGTGATTCAGTAACTAATAAAAAAATAAAACAAATATGTTTAATCATGCACACACGATTTGAACAAGTCAACAGAATGCTACAGCCATACTCTGAGCTCCAGTATCTGTTCTTTCTTTAGGACACCTGTATCCAGGGCCGTGCACAGACCTTTTGAGGGGCATGTGCTGAAACGGAAAAAGGGCCACCCCCCTTTTAACTATTTTTGAATTATTCGGTTCATCAGTCATCAAAGCTCAGTAAATATTGGTCACAGACACAGAAATTTACTTTAAATTTCAACATGCTGATTCACTCACTAAAAACTCCCACAGATCATGTTTTCAGACCATTTCAAGTCTTATTTTGACGTAACAAAGTGGTTACATCTAAGTGTGTGAGTTGTTTACTTACTTTTTTAAATGAGTCTTCCCATTAATGCCATTATATTGTTCATTCAGACTGATTCGCGAACGTAGAACGCGCATGAAGCAGACAGACAGATGTAAAGGGTGACCAATATCATTGATTTATTTTATCGCCAAAAAAAAGGGCACTTCGGAATGTAAGGGCAAAAAGGGCATGTGCTCTGCACAGGTTGAGCCCTACCTGTGCACGGGCCTGCCTGTATCAATGCCTATCTGTCCCTCCGGGCTCAGTCTCGCCTTCTAGTCACGCTCTTCTCTCTAATGCTGCTCACGGGAATCCCTGAGCTCAGCATGTCACAGGACATGCGCTACCTGCTAACTGCACTGCAGCAGGATCAAGGGGAGGAAGAGGCTAGGAACCACTTCCTGCAGCAGATTGCCCTCTGCGAGCAGAAAGGTTGGACCGTCCAGGCCAACTGGTGGTTTCACATGATGGCGGGCATTAAATAGAAAACATAAGGAAACTATGTACCTTTCTGACAATCAGCAAAGGGAATTTCTCTACATGCTACAAAAAGATTGAGAACCACTGACTTAAAGAGACAGTTAACCCAAAATTGAAGATCTGTCATTATTTACTCACCCTAATATCATTCCAAACTTGATTTTCTGATTTCCTTTGCTAAGCTGAATACAAAAGGAGATGTTTGTCAGGATGTTCATGCTGCTCTATACCATGAAAGTGACCAGGGGCTGACAAATTCCTAAAAGGACAAAAAGCACCATAAAAGTACCATTTCCATTGTGGTCTATTTCTATTGTGGTCTAGTGGTCCATTTCAAGTATTCTGAACTTTATGTAAATAATAAACAAAACTTCTCTGTAAATCTCATTTATGCATTTTAAATATGCAAATTCACATTTGGCACATTGTTGTAGTATGAACAGAAAGAAATGTAAACAGAATGAGGGTGAATTTTTGCTGAACTATCCCTTTAAATATTACATTTGATCATGCAAATTACATGAAGAAAAATTTTGTATTCAATATAAACAATAAATGTGTGTTTGCTACTTCACGTTTCTTATTGTTTCCATTAAATAATCATCGAAGAACCTGAGTCACAATTCAGATGAATTAAGACCATCTTAACTATTAGAAAGACCCTCGGTGTGCCATGATGGTACTGTAAGTAATAAGGATGACACACCAGGAAATGAGATCTTGCATGTAAACAGTGTAATCACATGCTCTCATGTGAGTACCATCCTGCTATTTACAGTGGTTGCCTTTAGAGGGCACCCTGGCCCATATTCACCTCACATGCACTGGGTCATGAGACAACAGACCTAAAAACACGTTGCTTGTTAACAATAGACTCTGAGATAAAACAGTTTTAGTTTTGGTTAACAGTACTAAGAATAGGACATAAAAACGTGAAATTCCCTGCGCAAAGGCCGTGTTGTAGAGTTGTCGTAGTTGTTGGTTAGGGTAGGGAGAGAAGGGAGGGGTGTTTGGTGGGTGTAGGGGTGTTTTCAAAGCCAGCAGTTTGGGGGGCATGGGCGGGGGGCTGTCAAGTCTGTCTGAGAGACTGTTTCCAGACAGACAAGCCTCCATGCTTCTCTTAGCTTCTCGTCTCGCATCCACTGCATTCTCACATCATGCTGTTCTTCCTTCAGTCTTTTCCTTTGTTGAGGTATTTTCCGGTATTTTTACATTTCTCATTTAATCAAGTTGTGTCTTTAAAACAGCTCAGCATTCATTTATTTCACTCTTCCTCGATTCCTCGTTCTTACGCACTCACACAAACACACACGCCAAGACGGCATCACTGTGTTTCTGACAAGGATGAGCACATGGTCGTCCCACACACTGGCTGATTGTCTTTCTTGGGGCTGTCCGTTCTTTACTATAAGAGCTCTACAAGCTCTCACAGCACTTTATCTAAAGGTAAGATATTTTTAGAATAGATTGAACGTTGTTATTTTTTAATTTTTTAATTTTTGGTCTTCAAATACATTGACTTTCAGCTGCTGATTCAACGTCTTCCTTCAGGTGAGTGTAACAGACAAAAAAGGTATTTATTCTATCATGTTATAAGAAGCTTTTTATTTACTATGTATATTTATCATACATAATTAAAATAATATATATATATTTTTTTTTAAATTAGAATATAAATATGTTACAGAAAATATGCTTCTCGTGAACTGAGGCTAATTTTTATAGGTAATATGCTATAAATATTGACACAAATATTTGTGCTTTATACTTGATACCCTATAGGTCTTTTGGTTCAATTACAGTGAACCATGTTCAGAACTATTGCATTGCTTTACACTAAACCATCTGCGTGACACCCGGCTTTTAAACCCACATGGATTTGAGGTCATATCCCATCGCCATGTGCTCTCCTTGAGGTCACTGCCTCAAAGAAAAAATAAATAAATAAATAAAAAGCCATATCTGATTCAACCTGCTTTTTATAATCGAGAAGCTCCAGTAATTACTTATAAGGGTGTGTCAGTGGGCAAGTCAGTTCATATCTGTTTGAGTCCAGGTTACTGAGTGCATGTGGAGGACAGAGTCAAGCAGCAATGGTTTCCAGTGCAGAAAAGAGCACTGACCTAGTTCACGCCAGACAGAACAGCCAGACATGCCCCCAATTTCCCCACATTATTAAAAAAAGTGAGAATGTAGTAATTTTTCTAATTACTGTCAAATCAATGCAAAGTCAGTAACACAACAAATGACTGTAAAAAAAATTGTGTAATGCGTTGTGAGGTAATAGTGTATATATAGTTTCATTAGTGTGTTCTGTAACACTACTGAAAGATTCTGCCCAAAGAAAATGCTAATCATCAAGGTGACTTCAAAAAATTACTTTAAAGGGGTCATTGGATGCTACATGAACTTTTACAAGTTGTTTGAACTGAAATGTGTGTTGGCACCCTATAATGATAAAAATCCACTGCATCTATGTTTGCACAAATCACTCGTGATCCAGCCTCACCTACAGAAGAAGTGAGTATAAGGTTTTGCAATGAATCTTTGCAAATCGCCTTTCCTAATAATGTTTTTGACAGGGTAAAAAAAGTGTTTTTTACACTACCGTTGAGAAATTGTAACCAAACTATGCTACAGACTTTTCATTAAGACCCTAAAGAATCATATCAACTTGTGGAAAATGGGCATCCGATGACCCCTTTAAAAGGGACATGCAGCATATTTTCCGACATTTGCGATATCACAAATATTGACGAATGGGACGAGACCTGGTTGAGCTGCATTAGAGAAGGCGACGAGTGTTATCACTATGTCGGAGACACGCTAGCTGATTTTATGGGTGCCCTAAGTACATATACTAAAACAAGGTAAGAAAAAAACCCTACTGACTATGCACATATGGTTATCTGGAGCACAGTACTTGCATTACAAACTATACTGTATTAGCATTAAAATAATAATAATAAAATGCTGCAACATCTAGACTCAACTAAGGTAGTAGATTTATAAGACTTAACTTATAACATATACCTGTGCCTTCACACAACCGTGTGCTGTCACTAATACTCACAATAGTTTGTTTTCCTCATTTGTACATTTCTTTGGATAAAAGTGTCTGCTAAATGAGTACATTTCTGCTCATAATAGCACTGTACCTTTGGAAATGTATTAATAAGTAATAAATAAATAAGTCCTAAAGACACGTCAGCTGATTCCTGGGACAAATGTTAAAGACTGGAGTCAAATTCCATTCCATTTTGTGTGTTTTTAATGACTCCAAACTTTTTTGTGTACATACCACAGGTGTGTCTTTAATCATATCTGTCTTTCATGTTAAGTACAGGTGTGGCTAACTACATTTATCTAAAACTGACAGAAACACAACTCATTGGCCTCAAGGGCTAATCTTAAATGATCACGAAACCCTAAGACACATTCTTTTTGTTAAAAGGTGTGCACACATTGCATATTATGGAAATATTATTAAAAAACACTGAAATCAAACACAAATTTGAAATAGTAAGGGCAAAGACTTTAAAGTAAATAGTTGAAGCTACATCACAAACTATTTCAAATATGGCCGTTAATAACTTCAAACATCACCATTGAAACCAGCACATTTGATTTGAGATCTACTCTTACGCTGGAACAGATCACAGTGAATAGTGATCACAGTGAACTTAAATTTTGTCTTCTCAAAGCTATTTTAACGCTTATACTGTATATAGTGCACAAGTTGTATGCACTCTTAAAGATAAAGGTTATTTATTGACATCAACGGTTTCATGAAGAACCTTTAAAATACGCTTTTCAAATCCACAAAATATTTTTTATAGTGAAAAAAAGTTTCTTTCACTAAGAAACATGGTTCTTTGCACTGCTGTGGTCTAAGGCACTTTTGGAACCTTTATATTTAAATATGTGGACTCATTTCAAGGTGCCTTTCTAGTTTTATTTTGACAATCAATGGACACTAGAAAGTGCCATTTATCACAAAGATTTATGTGAAAATAATTCAAAAACTCTCTTTTGTGTTCTACTTAAAAAAATAACAGCATACATGTTTGGAACAACATGAGGGTGAGTAAATGATGATATAATTTTCCATTTCTGTTGAATTGTCCCTTTAAGTGTCTATCTATTCATTTAAACTTGAATGACTGAAGGATGTTATTCAAATTTTATGTATAAAAATGATGTGAAATAAATCAAAGTGGATGATTTTAAAAGCAATTAAAGCATGTTTCGAAAATATGTATGTGTTTGTGCTGGTTATTTCCCACGTCTCAGATCCGCTGCCATGCTGATTCTGGGAGGTCCCCTCTTTTCAGCACTGATGGTCCATGGCTAAGCTGCTATGACACACTGCAGCGTCCTTCAGAGGGGCCCTCCAATTACTACAGAGACACAGCAACCACCAAAAACAATGTGTATGTATGTGCTATGTATGGAAAGTCTTCAGGAAGCAGTCTATAAATCAGTACGAGTAAATGAGACTAGAAGAAGACTCTTATGCTCATTAGCAGACATGTGTTTGTGACTGACATTGGCATTCAGTTAGCTTGATCTTTTAAATGCATTCATGCTATTTATTTAAAAGCTTATTTAGTGATCCCACACAAAATCAGCCTTCCGCTATGCTTCTACCTTTTGTAGCGTGACCGATTTCCTCTGGTGTTCAGAGTGGACTGGGGTTTTCTAGCACCATTTGAAATCGGTCGTGCTGAAAGGTATGGCATCCCCTTCATATGAGCAGAATGTGGACCATTTTGTAGACGATGAAAAGACAGGAAATGGTTGGGGTGAAGTTAAAATTGGTTAACCAATTAACCACTCAAGCAGGGTCAGAAATTAACCAGGTCTCAGGGCAGAAAAGAGACAAAATGACACAGATGATTATAATGCAGGGCAAATAATGCTCCCATATCCATCTCCCTTTTTATCTGTTGTCCAATGTATACATATATTGGGTTTAGTGTCTTGACCTGTAGGAGTTCATAGTCTCACAGGTGAGTGTTATTGAATGTGTTGCTAGTATGTATTTAGAATGTATGTGTTGTAATATGTATGTATGTAAAGTAGTATAAGTAGTTTGTGATGAAAAGACTAGCTTTTTATTGTAAATTTATTCCAGCAAGGAATTTATTGTGTTAAGATTTATTGTGCATTATATACAGTTACTTTTAAAATCAATGTTGATTTTGAAGTATTTAAAAAATTGAAATGGAAAACATTCAGTGTGTCTTCAGTTCAATTCAAACACACACACACACATATTATATATA